GCCTAGACCTAATATTCTAGTTTATTATAGATTTTAAAATAAATTATATATATTCAAAAACTAAGTTTAAACTTTCTATAACTTATTATTCTAGAATAGATAATTAAATTAACATTATGAATTAGTATATTATCTCGTGAAAATTCTTTTTATTAATTATTATTAGAATAATTAATTTAATTTTTTTATTCACAATTTTATTACTAGAAATTAGAATATTATTTAATAGGTCAATTAATATACGGGATAATATGGTAAGATAGTATAAGAAATGAATCTATATTATAATATATAAAATATAAGATTAGATTTTTCTAGAATATTATTACTAATTTTTAACTAGTACTTTTTATAGATAATAAATACCTATAAGAGATTCATAGATCATGTAGTCACAATACCTCACTAACTAGATCTTAAAATAGATCTATCACAACTTCACAAGTCTTGTAATGATATGATCTCTTATAATTAATTGAATTTTTTTATTAAATAGATGTGATAGGATCTACTTGTCAGGGTAGAAGGCCTGTCAACTAGGTAAGGAACTGGCCACTGAACGTGTAAGATTCTACTAATAATAATAAAGATAGCCTATATCCACAAGATAAACTAATCCTTAAAGGATTAGATAGTATAACTTTACTTTCTTACTATATAAAAGTTAACAAGCCACTATAGTACGTAAGTTAATAACTTTATAAGTATAATCTTTCTAATATGGCTTATTACAGGGCTAAGATATTAGTCAGGCTGATACTAATAAGATAAGATCTTAATCTAGACTATTTTATTATAATTATTTTCTTTTCTACCAAGCCGAGCCTCCTGGCTCGGAAAACTATATATAAATAGTTTTATAATAGAAATATAATAAAAAATAGGAGATAAGCTACAAAGTAATTATTAATATATTTTTATAAAGTAAATAAAGTGGAGAATACTATAACATATTTATATATATTATTATTATTATTATGGTTAGGAATAGTAAATAATTTTATTTTTTTACACGCTTCCCTTGTCCTTTGTAATAGTTTTTTTTTAATATTATAATTTTTTTAATTATTAATATTTATATTACGTTTTTAAATTTTTTTATTATTATTTAATTAAGAAAGTGATCATAATACCTCATATTTATTAAATTATTAAATATTATATTACTTGTAATATAGCTATTAAGTCTATATATTTTTTTAATATATATTACTTTTAGTTAGATTTTAAAAAATATAATACTACTACTAGTGTTTTATTTACTATTTAATATATTTTTAATAGTAAGATATTAATCTTCTACTAGCATTACTATAAGAGTAATAAGAAATATAATCTTATAAATATACTATTTATTAGTATATTATCTATTTATTAATATAACTAGATATTTACTAGAATGTTAGGAAACGCGTATAATTTTATAAAAATTTTTTAATAAATTAATAAACTAATAAATATTAAAGATTTAAATAATAAATTATATATATAGTTATACACAAGTAATTTTAATTTTATTAAGATTTTTAAAAATATTAAGACTGCTTATGCCATGGGTTTTTACCTTAAAGATTTAAAAAAATGAGTTAATAGATAGCTATTTTCTAAGATAATTTATTAATAAAATACTAGATACATATTTATAAATACTAATAATATTTTATTATTTAATATAATACTATAGTATGTTAATTTCCTTATTCTAGTACTAACGTGATATATTTAAAGCTTTATTAATATAATAAGTAAACATTCTTATATTTATTACTAGAAAATATAGGTTTTACTATATAGATTATAGTAATAACTATCCTATTCTAGAATATTATAGATATAATTTATAAATATTTTTTTAATATTTTAGTAATCTCTAATAGCAATTCAGAGAATAATTTAAAGAATAAAAAGAAAATAAAAATAATCTTAAAATTTAGATTATCTATAATAATTTCTCTATCTATATTTTTATAATTTAATAGGTATTTAAATGCCTGGTTTTTATTCAAAATTTATAAATATAATTTTAAATATTCAAATATAAATTATTAGGATGAAATTTATTATTTATAATAAATTTTATATTTTTTATATAATTTAGACTAAATCTCTTATAATTAATTATAATATCAATGAAGAAATAATGAGATGATTTTATAAGTATAATATTTAAATTAATAAATTAAATATATAATATTTTTAAGTTTTTACTATTTTAGTAATATTTTACTATCTATTCTAGTTTTTTCTATTTTTTTAGTAGCCGTAAATAGCTTAGAATATATTATCTATATTTTTTCTAGAAATTTACTAATTATATTTACTAAGCTATTCTTTCTATTTAATTAAATAATAGTTTTAACTATCATATTGTTAGTAATTCTTAATTTTTTTAACTTTTTATTTTTTTTATCATCTAACTCTAGTATTAGTAGTATTTTTTTATAATTTATACTAATATTTCACGGCTCTAATAATAAAATATAAAAGATATTATAAATTTATTTATATTTCTCAGATAAATATAGGTAATATATTCAAAATCTAATTTATTTTAAAATTTAAAAAGATCTTATAAACTTTAGAGCCAGCTTTCTCAATCTTTTAAATTATAGATTCTAAATTAACAACTTAACTAAATCTTTTTTTTAAAGTAGAATAATTTTCTATATTTATTATAGTATTTCTTTTACTTTTCCATAGTTATTTATTATATTTTTTAGAATTATTCTTTTATCTATCTGAGTTATTTAATTCTATTCTATATAATTAAAACCTCTTATTATTAAGAAGTATTCTTAATTTTAAAATAAAAATCTAGTAAATAATTATATAGAATTTTATTAAATAATTATCCCGTGGTTATATTATTTATATTATTATAAATAAATTAAATAGTTAACAATATTACAGGCTAATTTATATAAAATTTAATAAAATAGTATTTTAAATAATACTTTAAAATTTAGTTTATTCTTTCTATTTAGCTATTAGTTTATAGATAAAATACAGTAGAAAATCTTAAAGTTATATAAATATTATAAAATAAATCTAACTAAAATTTATTAATAAATATTAAATTTTAATTAGGTATAATCCCATTGAGAGATCTGAAAACTAGTTTAACTTATTAGTAAAATAATTTAGCTAGATTTAGTGTTATTATAATTAATAAAATAATAAAGAAAAAATAATATTTTAAAAATTAATTTATAATAACAAGGATGGCGTTAATAATTTATTTATATTATATAAATATAATCCTGTAATAAAATCTATTACTAATTCTATAAAAAATAAGAAAAATTAATAGAGATTTAAGACTATTATATAATAAATATTTTAGAGTTATATTATCTTAATATATTAAATAAATTTAAATATATTTAATTATATTTTTATACAGTCCACTCCAATGGAACTTTCTATATAATAAAACTTTAGTTTAAATTTTTTTAAAATATCCCGCTAATAGATTATTATAATAAAAATAGATAAGCGTTTGACGTAGTATTTTAGAAAATAAAATATAAAAATAATCTTTAAAATAGATATAGCTAGTAGTTTTAATAGTCTAATACTTTTAATCTAGTTATTCTTATTAAATAATAGTCTTTTACTATTAAGTCTCTAGATCTTTATTTTATAAATATAAGATTATTTTTTAAAGCTTGGAATTACATGTATCTAAATATAAAATTTTTATAATATATATATATATATATTACTATAGATTAAAAAATAAATCTCTTTTAAAATAAATTTTTCTAAGTAGTCTAAGTAGTCTAGTTAGTTATCTCTATATTAGCTTAACTATTAGAATTTTTTAAATTTAATATTATATAAATATTGAATCTAGGGTAACCCTGCGTATTTTAAAATTTAAATTAAGATTTTATATTTATTAAATCTTTAATTATTAAGAATAATATATCTATAAAATATTTTTAAATTAAGATTAAGAGTTTCTCTTAAGAAGTAATCTCTATTTAAAATCTAGTAAATATTCTAGAGAGTCTATTTACTAGATTTAATTTTCCTATTCTATATTTAATAATAAAATTAAAAAAAATTAGATTTATAAATTATTAGATTTATTTTTTATTAATTTTAATTTAGTATATAAAAGATTACAAATTTAAATAATTAGATAAGACTTTAATTATTTAGAGAATCTCTTTGAAATATTATTACTATTATTTAAAGAAATAAATAATAATAAATAATTTTTAATTTAAAATATTATAATTTAGCTCAATACTGGAGAACTTATAAGACTAAAAAATTATTAAATAAAATATATCTTTATTATTAGATTAGAATAAAATCCTATTTATTTCTTCTTTAGATATATCGGTTTCTAAATATCGGGATTTAGTAAGATTAAAATATATTAATAAAAATATTTATTAAAAGATAGTAATTAAATAATAAAAAATTATTTATTTATAATTTAGATAGATTTTTCCAGATTTTTATTTATTAATTATTCTATAAAATAAAAAAGTAAGGAGTAATATAATATAGAAATAATCTTAGATAAATTATTAATAAAAATTATAAAATCTTAGAAAAATTTAAATATTAGAATAACTCTTAGATAATAGTTATAAAATAATATCATTAATTAGTAAAAATTTATAGATATATTATTAGTAAAAATTTATAGATATATTATTAGTATTAATAATATATTCTAGAAATTTAACTTAGAATTAATAAAATAAGTATTTTAATAATCTTTTATAAAATTTAGTTTTTTAGAGTCTTTCTAGTACTTAATAAATATACTTCATATAAGATTTCTTATCTAATAAAAAAATAAGAATATTATCTAGATATGTTATACAAAAGTTATTAAAAAGTCTATAAAATATAATATATATATAATTTTAAAAAGTTATTAAACTATTAATTAATTTAAATAGCATGATTATATACTTAAAATAATTATATTAAATATGAAATACTATCTTCTATTCATCCTTCTTTTTAATGTGAATTTAATAGTAAGTATTTTTAATATTATTTTTTAAAAAATATTTACTGCCTAAAACTCTATTAGGGATTTCTAAAATAAAAAATAAAGAATAATAATTTTTAATAGAAATTTTATTAAGATCCCTGTAATCCATATAAAGATATAAATTATTATTTTTTTTAAATATAAAAAAATAAAAGTCCCTATAGGATTTTTAGAGAATTATATTTAATTTAATTTTAGATTTTCTTTAATATATTTCTGTAGGATTTTAAATTCAATCTCTAAAAAAAATATATAAAATTATATAAAAATATTTTATTAAATTTAAAATTAATAGCGTGGTCTGCAGGGCTATAAAAAGATAATTATTAAAAAAAATTAAAAAAAAATATCGCGGAAGTAATAGAATTTAATTAATAATAATTCTAAATTTAATAATAAATTATAAGGTTTTTTCTCAGGTAGCTAGATATTTTTAAAAAATTTAATAATAATATATATTTTTACTAAATTTTAAATTACTTTAATAAATTTAATAGTAAAAAAAATTAATAATATATTAAATTATTACAGACAATTCTGTACTGATAAAATAATATATAAATTTTAAAATATAATTATTAATAATAGAATAAAATTATTATCTAGTTAAAGATCTCTATTAATCCTTATATAATATTATTTGAAAGTTTAGGTGTTTCTTTATAAATTAATGTTAATAATAAATATTTTTTATATACTATAAGTAAAAATATTAAATTAATTAATTACTCTAATTTTAGATACAGTGACTGGAATATATTAGAATTTATAAATTTTAATAAATTAATAATTAATAATATTTATTTTAGTATAATTATCTAGGTCTATAAAAATTTTAAAACTATTTTAAATATAAATAAGAATATAAAAATAATAAATAGTCTCTATTATAGGTAATAGAATTAAAATTATAAGATTTATTTTAATTTTTCTACTTTTCTCTCAGACTCTGATAAAAGCTAGTAAATTTTAGTAGACTAAATCTTTTTACTTTTAATAAGATAATAGTTTATAAAATATTAGATATTATTATATATAAAATATTATAATTATTTACCATTTTTTCTAATAGAGAATTTTTTATAATTTAGGGTATTATCTATAATAAGTTTATTATTATAATAACTTAGAATTTATTTATGTAGTCTGTAATTATTAAATTAATTATTATTTTATTTATATCTTTTATATTATTTTATAATTTATAGTAATAGATAATAATAGATACTATTTCTTTTTTATTTTCAAGTATATATAGAATATATTCTTAAATATAATAATTTAAATCTAGTAATAATTTAATAGAATATAATAAAATTTTTTCTTTCTTAATTTAACAAGGAAAATATTATTTTAAAATATTAAAATAAATATAAAACTCTTTTAAATTTTAGCTATACTACTAGTAAGCTTATTTAAGTTTGTGAAAGGAGATCACATGATCTCGGACCTAGCTACCTAGTCACCTCCTCCTCGTGTAGTTAGCTAAATAATATATACTTAATATCATCAATATTGCTGTCACAGGTTATGAGCCCTTATAATAATGAATCATTAAATATTTATTTTCCCTATCGTTTTTTCATTGTTTTTATATATTATTTATTAAATAGTATCTCTTTTAAGACTTTTTATGTCCTAAATCACTACTATATATAGTTTTATAGGTAGGAAAGCCTCCGCAGTGATTTAATTAGTTTAGTATCTAGATTTAGTACTTATTAACTAACTAGACCTCCCATCACGCGAGCGGCATGGTTGAATACTTATAATAATATTATTTAAAAACTTATTTAATATCAATATTTCCAAAGCTATTTCTAAGCTTAAAGGCCAGGCTAACTGGTTAATATAGTAAAAAAACTTATAAAACTACCTATATTTATGTAATCTAGACACGTAAAAGTTACTTTAAAATAAATATATTTTTCTAGAAAACTTAGTTCTTTATCCTGAGAATGAAGATGAAAATATATATATATTAACTATTTATACTAATAATAATAGTATTTTATTTATTTAAAAAGGACTAGAATGTAGTATTAAGCAGGTTAAATAATATAATTATATTTTATTTATTATATATAACTCTGATTATAAAAAATAAAAATAATTAAATTATTTTATATTTATAATTTTTAGTATTACATGCGAAGCTAGTCCTATAATATATTTCTAAAACTATAATTCTATACTAGAAGTATATATTCTTCTTTAGAAAGTATATAAGATCTTTAATTTTATTATAATTATCTGTCTATATAATAAATAAATATTTATTTATAATAATAATATAAATAATTAAAAAATTTTTTTTATATATTACATAGACGCCCTTAATAAGCTTTATAATATTAAGATTATTAATAATTATACTAAACTTTTATAGTTTTTTATAGTAATTTAGGATATGCCTATTTTATAGTTATTTATTATAAATTAATATATAATATTAATAGAAGACGTGATCCTATTATTTATATATATTTAATTTGTATAGTTTAAATATATATATAAAAATTAGTTTTTCCAGCTGATTACACATGCGGTTAATAATAAGTCTTAAAATAATATTAAAAATACTAATAATAATATCTAATATAATAATCGCGGTGATTATAGCCGCGGATATAAATATAATTATAAATATAATAAAATTTATAGTTATAGTAAAAATTAAATAACTATTTTTATATAGTATAAAAGAGAGCAATTTAATACCACTAATAGAAATATTATATAGTATATTTTCTACAAATATTATAGAAATTATTTTTTAAATAAATACTTATTTAACTTGAATAAGAAAATAATTATAAATATTTAAATTAATATAATTATTATATTTATTCTATTTACACTACCGTCTAGAATACTATTAATTAATATAATTAATATTAATTTTAATTTTTTTAATGCTTACGCTGTATTAGTTTATTTTAATATTATTATTATAATTTAAAAAAATTAATACCTGAATTACTTACATGATTAGATACTTGATTTTAGAATTATTAAAATAATAATTTATTTAAAATATTATTTTATATTTTTTACTTCTTATATACGCATAGTTAAAATTACTATTAATAAAGTCTTTTAAATTATTAGCTACAGTACTATTCTAATTAAATTAGTAGATAAGTAGAATAAATCTTATAGACTTTTAGAGATTAATTATATTTGGTATGTACTAGTATTTTTATATAATCTTATTTTATATAAGTAGTTAGTATACTAGAATATTTATATATATATTAAAATTAAAAAAATTATTATTCTTATTTAATATAGCAAGTAGATTAGTTTTATTATTATTAAAAATATTTAATATTTTTTATATATAACCAGCACTATAAGTTATAAAGTAATTTAGAGTTTATATCTTTATAATATTCTAATATACTCACTATTCTTTAATCTTATTATTAATATTATTAAAAAGATGGTTTTTTTATTAATTTTAATCTATTTTATATACTACTATATGGCTCATACCTCTGAATAAAAGATTTATAATTTTATTAAATATATTATTAGTTTTAATATTAAGAAAAATATTTTATTAGTATCCTGCGAATCTTACCTCCATAGAAAGAATTTAAGTATTATCTATCTTCTATATTAAATCTTATAATTTTAGTTTATGTATTGGAGATCTTATTTATATAAATATTTATAAATTACTATTTATATATGGTTAAACTAATATATATTATTTTATTATTTTTACTGATTATATTTTTTGGTACTGCTGGGTGTTCTTATTTAAAAAATATAATAAAATATATAATAAGTTTATTATTTTATAAAACTATCTTAAATACTAGTTAAATATTAATATTAAATATATTTATAGTAATAATATACTTAAATACTAATTACTTATAGTTTATTATTAAGAATAAAGTATTATCTAGGATCCTACTCCATACTATTACTTAAATTTTAATTCTATTATTAAAATTAAGAACTGTTATTTAATTAAATCTTATATATTAATTATAATAAATAATTAGTTATCCTATTTTTTATAGAATTATATTATCCTTATAATTAATTATATATAGAATAGATTTATATATAGTATTATTAGAAAAATTTTTTCTAAAGCTTTGTATAGAGTGTAACTAGATATTTTATAATAAAAAGTTTTTAGCTATTACTACTAGCATCTTACTTCTAAAAAAACTTATAATAAACTTAAGAATTATATATAGAAAAATTACTTTATTAAATATTTTAAATTAATCTATAAAATCTATAATATTTAAATTTATCAGATTATGTACACTCATAATATTATTTTTAATAAAAAATTTATTTTATAATTATTATTAGTAATATTTATACATAATCTTGATTTCACATACTATAGTGAAATTAATATAAAAATTCTAGTCTAAAAAATCTTCATTATTAGTTACTATTTGATATATTTTTTTAATATTAGTAATTTATTTTTGCTTTTTTTTTAATTATTCTACCGTAGACAAGTAGAATAGTAGTAAAAAACTAGACTAATTATTAGAATATAAATAAATTAATATATTTTTATTTTTATTTATATTAAATAATATTATCTATAATATTACACCTGAACTAGTAGTTATTAATAAAGATAATAAATCTAGAGACTATCTAATTATTATAGATTTTTTAGTTATTAGTATTTTCTATATAAAACTATTATTAATAATTAAATAATTATTATATTATTTTATATATACTTACAAGCCTTCGCACGCCTTTTTTAAGTTTTTAAGATTATATATTATTAGTATAAATAATAATTTAAATATATATATTAATATCTTTTACAAATTACTTATTAATAATTATCTTGTTGGTATCTTATTTCTAGAAATTATAACTATATAATATCTAATTAGTTTATAAGCTAGGAGGGGCACCTTTATTAAAAAACTAATATCTTAAGATACTAGTTATATTTTTATCTTATATACTAATACTATGGCCTGTGCTGAAGTATCTAAATAATATAAAATAATATATTATAAAATATAAGAATAAATTAAATAAGATATTTTCCGCGTGATTTTATATTTTTATAATATATATTTTCTTCCACTTAAATAGATATTTAAAATTAAATATAATAGTATTTATAAAATTTATCTTATTATTAAAGACTTCCAGCAGCGTGCTAGTAAAGATTAAATTAAAAAAATATATATAATTATTATTAAGAATATTAGTTTTAAGATTTTTATTATCCTAGCTGCTAAATTTTATTAGATTTTATATTATTTTAATATTATTATAGTCTTTCTTAATACTAAATTATATAAATTAATATATATTAAGCTGCCAAATAACTTCTAAAAAAATAGTATATATAGTAAGCTCCTTAAGTTATTATATAACTTAAAATAAATACTATGTAAGTAGTATAATATGCTTTATAATTTTTTAATAGTTAATAGTTTTAAATACTTATATATAGATTACTTTATGTTTACAGGAAAGAGTTTTTTTATACTTATCTATATTAATAATATTCTCTTATTTGTACTAGACAGTACTATAATTAATATTTTTAAAATATTATTTACTAAGTTTATTAAGTTCACTGATAATAGTCCCTATATCTACTTTCTAAGTATTAATATTATATAAATAAATAAAGGTATTTATCTCTCGCAGAAATTATATATATAAGACTATTTAAAGTGCTTTAGTTTCTTTACTTATAAGATTTCTTTTATATTATATAACTTTAAGAATTCTTTATTAAAGTATAATGGAATAATAGATCTTAATAATATTAAAATATATTAAAAATATAATAGTATGCTTATTTAGATTATCATTAATATATATCTTAATATTATATATATAATAAGTAAGCTATTATTCTTTGTAAGTAATCTTATTAAATTATATTTTTAAATAATAAATCTTATCTAGTATTATCTTACTAATTCTTTTAATCACTATTTTTTCTATTGTTGGGGCGGATCTAGCCTTATTAACTTTTATAATATTGATTAGGCTAGCTCTTATTTTTTTAATATAATATTAATCTTTAGCTACGTATTCTAACTTACTAGAAAACTTATTTTATAAAGTTTAAAGAAACAGACTACTATCATATTATTTTTAATTAAAAATAAATATATCACATAAATAATAGTAATGTAAGAGTTAATCTAGCTCTAATTACTATTTATTAAACTAGATATTTAGTATTTCAAAGTTATATCTATTTTAATAAATTATTCTATAACTATTTATATAAATAACTAGTCTACTATTATTCTAACTAAGAACCCCAAGTTCCATGCTTATATAAAACACGTCTCTATCAAATAACACTTCATATATTATGAAGTATGTATAAAAAATATTAAATTTATCTATATTAATACTATTAAATAAGTAGCTGATAATCTTATTAAATTATTTAAATATTTCACCTACTCCCGCTTTATTAAGTAACTCGGTATGGTGGATTATATTTAAAATCTTATCTAATATTTCTATATCTACATATCTTTTACTTCTTATTTAGAAAACATGAACAACCTTATATTTTTTTTATATGTAATATTACTAACTATATCCTCACTCATAGGAGGTGTAAAAAAAGATCACGTGATCTTAGATCTAGCTACCTAGTCACCTCCTCCTCGCGTAGTTAGCTAAACAACACACACTCAATATCATCAATATTGCTGTCACAAAGTTAAACTATAGTATTTAATTAAAGAGTAATAATATTTTAAATTAAAATAAAAATCTAGTCTTTGAATTGGAGCTATAATTTTTTAAATAATTATTTTTTTTTTTAGAATCTTATTATTAATAAAATAATATTATTTTTATTTATATACTAGATTTATATAGCTAACAGTAGTAAGAATCTTATATTTTTTAGTAAAATATTTTTTAAAAACTTTTTAAAATAAATTTTTTAGATTAATAATTTATTCCTGATATTTCTAAAGATTAAAACTTAATATAAAATAAGAAATATTTTTAAGTTTAATTTTTTTTTCTTCTTATCAGATTCAGGAGAGGATTAATAATATTTAAATAAGATTTTATTAAGAGAATAATCTCTCTAGAAATAAACTATTTTTTATTATAAATTATTAGTTTACTCTAACTAATAAATATAATTTTCTAACTATTAAATTTCTTTAATAATAGAAATAGTATTTAATAATAGTTTTAAGTTAATTTAATTACTAATTACTTTTATTTTTTTATAATCTTCAAGAAGTGGCATTTTTCTTAAATAGTTAAAAAAGAAGGATTAAAATATGATAAAATCTATTTATTAGGATAGAAAACTTATTGACTAAATAAGAAACTAACTATTAAATATATAGGATTCTATTAGTAATAATAAAAATAATCTATATCTATAAGATAGACTAATCTTTAAGGGATTAGATGGTACAACTCTATCCTCTTATTATATAAAAGTTAACGAGCCGCTATAGTACGTAAATTAATAATCTTATAACTATAATCCCTCTAGTATGGCCTATTACAGTGCCAAGACGTCAGTCGGGCCAATGCTGATAAGATAAGGCCTTAATCCAGACTGTTCTATCACAATAGAATAATAAATTATAAAGTATTATTGAATTAAATCAAATCCTAATTCGTATACTAATTTAATATTAAATAAAATAAGATCTAATAGTCAATTAATTATATAATAAAATTTTCAAATTTTATTTATATAAATATTTTTAATATTCAATAAAAATAATATATAGGAGGCTATCTCTCTCTCTATATAAATTGTTTTAGGTTTAATTTTAGATATATAAATATAATATCTCTATTTCTTTATTTATTACATATAGAACTGTTTCTGGTTCATCACAAGAGGTCCTAGTAGTAATATCCCTTACTTCTGGAATATCTAAAGTGTGTAACAAAAATGATTGTTACGAAGCCTCTTATCTTCAACATTATCCAAAGCTCCTATCTAATATAATAATCTGATTTATATTTAATACAGTGTTACAGTGTACAATATTGACATGTCTCCACTAACTATGACTGATTGGTTATCTTGACTAAGCATGCGGCATGTTGGTTAACTGTACTCCGTACTGGTAGTAGTACTGTCACATGATGCACTCAATTACCTGCTGGCCACGACAACGGACAGCGGAATGACACATGGCAGGTGGGGGAAAGCTAGCTAAAATGCGCTCTTAGTGCAGTGACACGCCACAAATGTAATCTGGTCTTTAAGTCCAGTATATACTGACACTAAGGTCAGGAATGCCGAATTCTTACTCTCAAGTGCTGCTAATCCAGTCAGTGGCCTTGGAATGCGGTACTGGGTTTGGAAGAAACCAAAGGTTAGAGTTACCTAAAGGGGCCCTGTAACCTTTCAACGTTGTCAAAGACGAAGCGATGTCTCATCGGAGTCCTACATCAGAAAAAAGGGCTAGGAGGTTTCTGCCGGAACCTATTGAAACTTCATCACGCAGTTCCCGGGATCATCAGGCAAAGCTTTCGTCTCGAGAAATCAGTCCGCTGAAGCAGAAATGCCCTCGAGTCTTCAAGGCACAATCCGCCTTGCTTCAGCATAGTAATGATTCACATCAAATCGAACCTGCCAGGCGGAACCAGCCGGTACGCGATAGCTTTGAAACACATGACGTACAATCGCAGAATGTGATTAGCAAACCTCCGTCACTCGCTTCTCAATGTTCAAAGCACAAATCTATATTAGAGACGGTTGTGGTTCAGGAAAATTCGCAGGCAAGATTGGAAGAACCCTTTCTTCAGGATCAAAACACCGTGTTTTCACATCCTAGGAAGTTTCCACCCCAACTCGTGGAAACGGGCAAACGTTCGTTTCGTCGACGGGATGCTCAGAACACTTCATCTTTTGGCAAAAGCATACCGGGAGCAGTACCTCAAGTCTCAAAACATGTTAATATAGTTAGGGATCTGTCTGCGGATGATGTATCCGGCCTCTCCGGGGAATCGCGGTTCTCATATATGAGTCTGCGACAACGCCAGGAAACAAGAAGACATTCTTTTCGAATTCCCAATCTCCCTGCAATTCCTTCTAGCTGCAGCGAGGCCTCTGATGTATCTGGATGCTCTCCAGAACCCGATTTGCCTTTTGCCATCCTCCACCAACCCGATTTGGAATCGGAAAGAAATTCGCAAGGTCATCACGAAAATGGATACTCGGAATATGTGCTAGCCCTAGCTGCCCGCTCTGCAGAAAAACAGCTCAAGGAGCAGGCCCTGGCGGCATTCCCAAATGAACAAGTTTACCAGCCAGTGGATCACTTCGCCATTGACAAGGAAGACGAGGACAGTGTGAACGAGGACGATTTACAAGTCCGCAGGAAATTGTCTGCACCAGGCAAACACCGCCGGGCATCATCCGCAGATCTGCCGTGGGAACTCGAGTACTTGCGCAGGCATAAGGAGGAAGCTGAGATGTGCGATCGTGCAATGGCTGGAACAAAAGGGTTACACTTTCCACCTATTGATCATCGACCTTCTGACGGAACCATGCAGACTTGTGGAAATTGGACTGGTGGCTTTGGTTTACCACAAACAAGACAAGGCGCAAGCCCTCCAATGCTTGGGGTTGATCTTGTGTTTCCACAAAGTCTGTCTCCCGAGATGACACTATGTGAGAGCAGCGTTATCGAACAAAATAATCCACAAGACAAGTTATATCATCCCCCGAGGCTTTGGTTTGCCAACCGTGACCTGTTTGATAAGTCTGATGGCGGAGGTCTTTGGATGGGGACTTGCAAATCCAATAAGTTTCCTGATTTTGAAGACTCGCGGTCGCTGCGCATGGGCTTGAGTGGAGATACCGGAGAACAATCTCAATACCCGACTGCAACGCTCATGCAACATGAAAAGCAGCCACTCGGTTGCTCCAGGGGTGTTCAAGCCTCGACACATACGAGGCAGCATGTCAGCCAGGAAGAGGACCTTGATCGTGAGCTGGATGACAGCTTTGTCACTCAGATATACAACTATCTGTCCCTGGGCTATCCATGCGTCGCTCGCTATTACGATCATGAACTCAGTATTGTTTCCGGAATCCCTGTAGCTGACCTTCGACGGGATGATCTAAAGACAGATGCCAAGGGTTATGTCAGCGTTGTGAGCGAAAACTCGATAGACCGAAGGGTAGCAAAAGAGGTTTGCATGCGTTGGATGGCCCTGCGTTTGTACATACAAGACTGGGCTAGGAAGCGGCCCAGGACGGCTGAAGGCGATGGCGATCATGGAACATGGGGGGTCTGTGAACGAAAGGGCAGTTGGGCTATATAACACAACACAAGTCCCATGCGTACGTAATTTGGGGAAAAGAAGCTTGGTATGCAGCTGCACCTATTACTAACATGGTTCATATACGAAAGTCCAAAAATCGCGGTGGGAATAAGTGTTTGGCGAATGAAGGAGGCCCAACAACAAGTACATAATACATTTATAATTAAAGAATTTGGACATTAGTTATTTTCGTTGGTCAAAAGCGATGGTCCCACATTCGGACGCACTACTCAAATAACTATGCTAAACGGCAATCTCGGTATCGCCAGAACTTTCCTCTCCGTCTCCGACTATCCCGTCAACTAGCATATTATTCCGATGGGCCCTTTCATGCACAATACCTGGGAAGATCTTTTGTTCCGGTACACAGTCCGTACTTTGCGTAGTTACGCCAGCAGTACTAGTACTGCTAAAGGACGTGCCAAACTCCCCAAGCGTAGTAACAGCGTTTCCTTCAGGATCTTGCAACTTGGGCCCTTCCATGCACGGTTTCTGTACAATCTGTCGACCCCCGGGTTGAAAACCTAAACTGTAAACCCCGCCGTTGTCTTGTTGATATCTTGGATTTACAACGGCACACTTTGACGAGTCTATGGTAACATGAGAAGGAAATCACCCCATCCCCGAATGATATGTGAGTATACCTGGATTTGAATCATTTCGCACGTCGCCAATTGGCGGCTCAGAAGATAAAGGCCCTGGTTGGTTGGTTGCGGCGAGGGCTTTCGATTGAACTGTTGCATCGTCACTAGTATGCGCATAACGTCCAATTCTAAACCGCACTTGGTCAATATATTTATCGCTATCGAGGAGCACAGAACCGCAACATCACATGCCACGGGATCCATGGAAACCTACAGGGTCAATTCTCCAGTCAATGTTTCATGCCTAAACTGTTCACGAATGTCAGGGACATTGCTTTTGGCAACGTTGTTTCCTGGAACTCCTGGCAGGCAGCAGTCATTGCCTAGCCATCTCTTCTTCAAAGATAGCTCAAAGCCACTCTGTTCGACTGAATGCTTGGCAAGCTCACACATATCTACTGCGCTAAACTTGTAGATTTGTGCAGCAACCGAATATTCCTCGATTAAGGGCTCTTTGGTGAAAGCAAACTGCAAGGGGTCATCAGTAGATAAAGAAACATTAAGACCTCTCTTGAAGAAATTAGCACAGGGATTTTTGTCATATGTTAGAAACAGGGCATTGTTGCTAAGAGGTGACATAGCAATGCCTATCTGGTCAAGATAGTAAAGATACTGTAGGAGAGGAACCTTTCTCAAAAGGATCCCATGACTGATGCTGTGGCAGCACAGGTAACCCACGGCAAGATGGTCGGGATCTCCAGCCTCACCGCAATGTGGCCTCAACACAAAAGTATTGAAGCCGCGTCGCTTGCGCCAGGTATTGAGAGATGCGATATTGGAAAACATGAAATAGATCCAATAGCTATATGGTGGATTTTGCTTTGTGTTCCAGTCTCTTGGAATTGGATACTTCCTGTACAGCCGCCGCTCCGCTTTGCTCTCGTCGTCAACACTGTCAAACCCAACCACACGCTGCAGGAAAATGTGCAGCTTGGGGTGGCTATCGGGATTCTTTGTCACTTCGAACAAAGGTTGGAAAACATTTGTGATAACTTGCTCAAAGTTTTCCATCATGCCGCTGGACTTATAAACGTCATACAGTCGAGGTACCTGAATCAGCCAGCGGACATTGGGAGAAAACAGTTTATTGTCAACAACCCAGGCTGCAAGTTTGTCCCATTCTTGAATTGACCTTCCATATATGGAGATACGCCATTCCACCATTTGGTACTTGCTGGATTCCAGGTCGGAAATGACTTCCTTCGTTATCTCTGCTAGATAGCGTCCCTTGATGAAGTTGTCTGTCTTCAAAAATATCTCTCGCAGACGAGATTCACCAACAGGGTTATACTTGAGATTGAATTTGTCAAACCGGTGAAACGAATCTGTATGAGCCTGTAAAAATATTAGCTGCGGATCTCTTTGAGCTATCGTTTTCAGACATACATGCATGTCCAATGTATCGATACTCAGATCATAAGCGGTGAGATTGATGCTCTCGAAAACTTCCTTCAGAGTCAGGTGTTTCCCATCGCGGAACAATACTACTTCATCCGGGGATTTTTTCATCTTGCTCTTGATGAAACGAAGGAGGTGCTTCTGATTCATACACGCGGAGTGATGAACATGTGTATCCACTTTTCGAACATTGTAGAAATCCCTATGAGGAACCTTTTTGCAGTCCGCGATCTCCTGGTATTCATTCAACAGCGCATAAAGCTGAAACTTTCCTTCCAAGTAGGACAGTCGTTTGAATGCGAAGCTTTTAGCGGGCCCGTCTGTCGATACGTCTGTGACTGCATCAAGGTCCATATAAAAGTCCCGTAAGGAAGGGATATTAACCACAGGTTGCCGGGAAACAGCCGCTGCATCGCTTTCATAAACTTGGTATACACTATTCTCATCCAGCCTAAATACCCAGGAGGATTCTTGAGGCAGTGGCAAACACTGGGCCATATCGAAGTCCTCCCCAATATCCTGGCCCATCTTTCGCTTTTTCTGATCGACGCGGGAGCTATCGGCACTCTTTCCGATGTCTCTCTCATTATCCCAGGCTGGTTCCGGCGGAGGGGGATAAACTTCCCATGTCGGATGATCTTTTGGATTATCCTCAGGTCCCTGCGAAGATAACTGCATGTACTTTGCCCGTCTATCAAGCAAGCTCCTTATCTTGCGACAGATAACATTTAACTCAGAGGTGACTGCGCTGCTATCAGCTGAGATGTTCATCATGCCCTGCACGGTTCCCAAAGAGTCGCTGACGTTTCCCATGTTGTCCGGACACGGCAAGAAACTGCCATCGTCCTGTGGGGCTATAACTTGCGCATCGTGGGACTCAGGGGTTTGTTGGAAAGCAGCAAGATCAATATTACGTTTTCCAGTCTGGGGACTCAAATTTCGCAGAGTGGTCGGCGAAGCGCCAAGTCCAATCGCTGGAGGTGACCCTGCCATGTCTTTAGGATCAGTGTCACCTACTGAGCTTGCCATAGCAGGTATCTCGTTGGGAAAGTCACCATCAGCGTTCCGAGATGCAATTTGGTGATGTTGGTAAAAGAGTTTTGCTTCAGCGTGGCTCATTGACTTCTCAAAGGCATAATCGTAAGTGGGAGTTTTCAGTTGTCTATCCCTTGGAAGGATATTCCCCGATGCCTGTTCTGTTGGATCAAGTTCACTGATGTTCGTTTCGGTATGATCTATCCTGTCGTCACCAGGAACAAACAAAGGACTTCCGGCATTTTCATCATGTGTTTGTGGATCAAGGTCTTTTCTTGATAGACCATGAGGTGCGCTGGCATTGGAATCCAGCCCGAGAGCATGGCTTGACTTTGAAGAAGCCATCCTTGAAGGATTGGCACAATAGTTGCACTTCAGTACAGTTATTGTGACACTGGTCAGGTTTAAGTTGCTGGATTAAATTTAGCATGGGCAACGCAGGCCTCACCGCAGATCGTCTACGTAAGTTTATGTAATTTTTTTACCAGTACGGAGTACAGTGATGTGGCTCCTGTCGGCAGTCCAGAATGTACTTTATATACCATGAGCTTTCTCCGATATTCGATTTATTTGAGAAAATATGAAACCATGGTTTTGGTTTGGTTAATTGATAAGATGAAAGATATAAGATACTAACATATTGTATCCAGTAGTTAAATTTAGCGTTTTCATCCAAGTCGAATTTGATGTCATCATCACCAAATCCAGTTAGCCAAGCAGGTTCATAACGTGTAATATATACTTCGTACGCGGGTGAAATTGTAATTGTATAATACAATGTGCAAGGTGCGGCAATGCTGAAGATGGGGCGAATACTACTATTTGGACTAACCTGCCTGTATCGTCCTAGCGCTGATTGATCCTTTATATGTTAAGCTGTAGAGAGTATGATAGGTTACCTATTTTTTAACTTTTATTTTAATAATATCCTCATCATAATTCATTATTATATTCTAAATTCTATAATCTCTCACCCTACTTCATAATTTAAAAGATTGAATTAATATATAACTAAAAATCTAATTTATTAATTTAATTAGATTAATATTGTTATAATTTATTGTGATAGGATAGCTTAAGAATAGCCTAGCTATCGGGATCAAGATCCTTAGGGTGACGTACTAGGGTGGTTATAGAGATTATAAGATTATTAATAGCAGTCTTGAATCTCTTTATTTTCTATAAGATGATATTTTTTAATATTAGATTACTGATTCTTCAAGGATTAGTTTATCTCGTAGATATAGACTATTTTTATTATTATTAGTGGAATCTTATATATTTAATAACTAGTTTCTTATTTAGTTAATAAATCTTCTACTTTAATAAATAGATTTTATCATATTTCAATTCTTTTTTTAATTATTTAAGGAAGATGCCATTTCTTAAAATTTATAAAAAATATAGAAATAATTAGCGATCAAACTAACTTAAAACTATTATTAAATATTATTCTTATTATTAAAGAGATCTAATATTTAAAAGATTATATTTATTAGCTAGAATAAGTTAATAATTTATGATAAAAAATAATCTATTTTTTGTCACAGGGCATACTGGGTACATATTCCAGGTACTTCCCGCTGCATTATTAGTAAAAGGATTAAAATATAAAACTAATAGCTTTACACTGCATACACTATATAAAAGTATTTAGAAACAAAATTTAAGCAGGATTTAAATAATCATATAGGTTTAGATAGGCAGGCAGACAAGTACTATAATAATAAGTCTTATTTTAAATATTAATTTTTTAATATTAAATAAAATAAAGAGAGTAAACTGAATAGATAAATAAATAAAATAAATAAAATAAATAAAATAAATAAAATAAATAAAATAAATAAAATAAATAAAATA